CAACAACAACAACAACAACAACAACCAGCGAACACCTATGTGCGTCCAAGCAAGGTGGGCCCAGGTGCAATACAAACACCGCACGTCGTCATTTATTACGTGTGCAAGCAACACCGAACAAGCAACACCGAACAAGCAACACCTCACAAGCAACACCGAACAAGCAACACTGAATAAGGTCCTCACGAGTATTGTATTGTAGTATACATTACGACCAAAAACAAACATCCCCCCGGCGCAATGCACTTGCAATATCAGTGATAGGATATGATACGTTTACTTGTGCGTTTATGATATCTGCCTGCCTATTCCGGACAGCCTTTGGCCCCCTCAGGGCCCTTGAGCCCCCTCAGCGCTCTTAATTTGAGGCCCCCAGGACATCATCAAGTACACCTTGGCGGGCTACACAATTCAAGTGTGGTGTAATACACACACACACGCACACACACGCACACACACACACACACATGCACAGACACACACATGCACAGACAAACAGCTGCTGCTACTGCTGTGCCTCAAGTACTAAAGCGCTTCAGAAACACGCCCGGAGATTCCATTCACACGCCTCCATCCCCAATCATATGCATGTGCTCAGTCAGGGCAGTCGTGGTCAGGACCCGCTGGTCATTTGGTCGCACAGCTTGCTGAGATGCTGTTCCAGGAGGCCCTTGAACTTCCCCACATCGCAAGGACCAGCTCCTGTGAGCATGAACCTACAGAATCCATAACCAATCTGCGCAGTGAAATGTGCCGTTAAGGTGCGGCGGAGTTAAGGCATGAGTTAAGTTAAGGCATGAGTTAAGTTAAGGCATGCATGCCACAAACGGGCACACATAATATAAGAAGGAGGACTAGTAGGACAAGGCCTAGAAGGAGGAAGATGAAAACGACAAGTGAGGAGGCGATGATTAGGAGATCACCTTGAATATGGAAACAGGGCCCAGGGCACCTTGCAGCATCTGCATGCCGATTTGTGGCGATTTATGGCGGCCAGGTTGGTTTCAAACTTGCGCTTTGGGAATATTATTTCTCGTGCGTTTCCTGATAACTGTCTTTTCGGCCAGCAGCCCTTGTCTTGGGCCTCCGACGTGTATGGACTCGTCGGTACACCACCTCCACGTGTAACACTCACAACTTCAGGTGCAAAACACACACGCACACAGGTACACTCACATACACCCACTCTTTGGATTGTAACCCCCTACACACACACACACACACACACACACACACACACCGGCCCACAGGGCCACACGTGCGTGTGGAGCTGCTGGCCCGTCTTTTGACGACGGGCCCCGCCCCCAGGGGAGCTGCTGAATCATCCCTTTCGAGCCACTTCGCGACGGGGCACCCCACCAGCCCCACCCCACCAGTCCTGTACAACCCCTGTCACTGTATCTTTTGCAAAGCTGCACGGCACAAAGCCGTACCGTACGGCCTCACGGCCTCAGGGCTTCCCCAGGAGTCAGCCAGCCGCCTAATTAGGAGTTCCCCGGGAGCTTACACACACATACATACATGCATGATTGATTGT